AGGGTATATATCCAGAAAAGGCTGAGCGTGTCGAAAAACTTTTCCGCATCTAGGAGCAGGACGGCCCAGTCGACCGAGATCCAGCTCGCAGCTTCGGCCTTGGCGTGCCTGAGAAGGGCCGCCTTCAAAGGGTCAGAACCTCGTACGGCTGCATCCCAGAATCCCGCTTTCTGTTTCTCCCAGGTGGTAACAGCTTCTTTTCTGGGTCGGGACCAGATGCGGTACAACCCTTGGGTCCGAGTGCTTGGGTCGGTCCCCTTCCCCTGTGGGTTTGGGATGCATGCCAACTTCATTCAAAAGGATCTGCTCTGGCCACGCGCACGTGCGCTCGATGTCCTGCAAGAGACCGACTAATTCATCGTGCGCCTCCTCAGGTAGGACGGCCCAAAGCTTGGGGTTCCACTGGTCGGCCCCCCTGCCCATAGAACTCGGGAAAGCCTGGCACGCTGCCAAGACCTGTGGGGCTCGAAGTTCAGACAGTTCAGGTACATGGGCCTGCGCGTCCTGCCGGAAAACTTGCCACCAGCTTTGCGTAGAAGGGTGCCCTTGGCCTCCAGGGTCCTTCCAGAGTGTCTGCCACCGAGTCTGCTTGATCTTCAGAGCCTCCGAGGGGTCCCATAGTGGGTCCCCTTCCGTGTCCAGCTCTTGGGCTGGTATGGCCGCTGGGTGGCCCCAGTGGTGGTATGCCGATGAGCCCACTTGGCCCCCCCTCGGAGACTCTGGGAGAGCCACTCCTGGAACCCAGCTTGTTTACCCCGATAAACTTCACGATCAGCACGGTCTCGGATAGCTTTACTCTTCTTGGCCAAGTCTTTAATGCCGTCCTGGGACAGTTGGGGTATCTGCTGGGCCTGCATCTGGATGTCCTGAATGTCTGAGGTGATCTGGATGAGGTCCTCCTGAGATCCCTTGGGGACGAGATGCTCCTGGATACTCCCGAGTTTGGCCTGGATGAGCTTCCCAACGTGTTGACGTTTTGCAGTCTTCCCTGGGCTCTCCTTCCCGATACTGAGCCCATAAAGGTCCTGCAGCCGCGCAACCATACATTTCCACGTCCTCCTCGTCCTCATCACCATCAGCAGCTCCATCCCACATATCTCAACATTATCAACAGCAGCATCCTCATCGCCACCACCAGCATCGTAATCATCCTTATCGCCCTCATCTTCTTCATCACCCTCCGCATCATCATCGTCAGCGTCATCACCATCATCAGCAACAATCGCATCAGCATCAGCATCATCAGCATCATCATCAACAGCATCCTCATCTCCATCCTCATCACAATCGTCATCACCACCACCACCACCACCACATGCAGCTTCACCATCATCAGCAGCAGCAGTATCCTCCTCACCATCATCATCGTCATCAGCATCATCGCCATCATCAGCATCAACATCATCAGCATAATCCTCATCATCATCCTCATTAGCATCATCATCATCGTTATCAGCATCCTCATCATCGGGTGCATCATCATCAGCATCATCATCATCACCATCATCATCATCGCCATCGCCGTCGCCATCGCCATCGCCATCATCATCGTCGCCAGTATATGCGTCCCACCCCTCTCGAGGAGGGAGGAAGGAGGGGAGGACCCAGAAGGCCTCTCCAAGGGGCCTCTGACAAAGCCTCTCGAAGACTTCTACCAAGGCCTCTTCAGGTCTCTCAGTGGCTTCTCAAACGGCCTCTAAAAGGCTTTTCACAAGGCCTTGCAAAATCCTGTCACAAGGTTTCTCATAGGCCTCTGCCAAGGCTTCCCAAATGTCTCGGAATCCAGAATTGCGAGGATGTGTCAGGCGAAATGCGCCAGATCACCTCGCGCGTGGCATCTGGCAGCTCAGAAGCGGGAGGATGCCGCGGGCGAAACGGGTCGGACCACCTCGCCAGTGGCATTTCGGAAGCCGAAGGCGTGAGGATGTCTCAGGCGACTCGCGCTGGCATCCCGCTCGTGCGGCATCTCGCAGCCCAGAATTGCGAGAATGTCTCAGGCGAAACGCGCTGGACCACCTCTCGCGCGGCATTTTTGAGCCCAGAGGTGCAAGGCTGTCTCAGGCAAAATGCGCCGGACCACCTCGCGCGTATGGTATCTCCGAGCCCACAGGCGCCAGGATGTCCCAAGCGAAACGCGCTGGACCACCTCTCGCGCGACCATCTTGGAGCTCGGAGTCGGGAGAATATCACACGGTCCGGACCACCGCGCAAGAAGTACCTCGCAAGCCAGAATTGGAAGGATGTCACAGGCGGAACGGGCCGGACCACTGCGCGAGAAGTATATCGGACCACTTCGCGCGGGGCATCTCGGAGCTCAGAAACGCGTGGATAACTCAAGCGAAACGCACTGGATCACCTCGCGCGCGGCATCTCGAAGCTCTGAATTGCGAGGATGTCTCAGGCGAAACGCCCAATACCGGCCAACTCGGACACGAGAATTGCGAGGAGGTCTGAGGCGAAACGGCCTGGAACATTTTATTTTGTTGAGGATGTTTCTGTTTCAGTCTCCCTCGGCAGGAACAAGCTTCTATCACAACAGCACAAAGTTCAGCAAACTGCTTGGGAAAAATCAGAGCAATGGAAAGGGATAGAAGGGAGGGAAAGGATATCAGATGTGTCACGTGCGCACCTAGCTGTTCACCCCTTCTGTATCGCTTCTGGCGGCCCCATGTGGGGGTCTCTTGGTACCGTCTTGAACCGACTTGAGGCCATCTTAGGTCGTCTTGGAACCCTCTTGGGCCGTCTAGGAACCCTCGTGGGTCGTCTTGGGACCTTCTCGGGCCGCCCTTGGGCCCCACTGGCCATCTGGAGAATCAGTTGGTGCTTCCATGGGGTCATATTGGTGCCACCTTGGTCCGTCTCGGAGGCCTCCTGGGCCGTCTTGGGGGCGCTCCACGCCCTGGAGCAGCCCAGGAGCCTGCTGAGGCCAGTCATTCGCCTGCTGATAGGGCTCATACCTCTGGTGGTCGAAGCACGTCAAGGGGACAGCAATGGCAAACCAGGCGAAAGGTCTAAGAAACTGCAGCAGAATTTCCACCGGCAAACATATTGTTTGGCAACCCAGGCCCAAGCGAAGGAAATCCAAAGAATTTAGCTTACCCTCCCATGACCCCAGAAGGCTGAACCAGATTAGCAGACGTAGGAGCCAGTCTGGACCGCCTCCGGCGGATGCCGATGCTCAACCCGAAGCCGTGCCAGCGGGGAACCTCAATGATGGCTCAGCCAATTTGGCCCTCCCTTCTCAAGGGCGCCCGCGTCGCCGCCTTCTGATCCCACCTCGAGAGCGCACTCCGGGACAGGTCCTGGGGCCGAGTTCGAGGGATGGGCCTCCCAGGGGTCGTGAGCAGAGTAACGGGGGACGTGTCCCTCCGCTACAGACCCCGGCACCCACGGGCCGATGCATCTTGAAAGGTACAGTCGGACCTGGGACAAAAAAAACATCACTCAAGAACACGAGGCCCTCCGCCAGTCAACACACACACAGAACATCCGAGGGTACCTTCCCCAGGATGCACAAGAACATCCAACAAACACGATGAACATGAGGACACCCTCCCCGAACAGACCTGGATCTTATACCTCGATCCGACTGTAATGCAAGAATACTTGGTCGGGGGTTCTGCTTGTGAGTTTCGTCGACGTCGAAGTTGCTTCCAAACCCTCATGTGCTGGGCCTTTGTTTTGCGTAAGGGGCGTGATGCCCCTCTAATATTATCTCTCCTCCTCTCCCCACTATTTTCGTTTCTTCGTTCCTCTCCGCCTCACCTGTTCCTCCTGTGTCTCTTTCACCCCCCTAACCTCCCTCTGGTTAAACATCTTACCGTTTTGGAAAAGACGCTGTATGATAGTTCCACCCTTCCTCCCCTGACATCCACCTATGCAACCGTCGCCGCTCTTCTGCGCCCCCTGGGGGCCCAGCGGACCAGCAACAGACTTTTAAGACGGCGGCGGAGAGAGACCTCAGGTGCGGTCGGCAGGTGGAGGTGCCAATGGTGAACGAACTTAGTCGAACGCGAAATGATGAAAGTATCCAGTCACGGCCATGCAGATTGGTGGTGAAAAACGGGAGGCGCTGCAATACCGAAAAGTGCAGGGCAAAAAAGTAAAAAACGAGGAACAGCAGCGGCCTAGCAACACACGCAGACCCACACCTAGGTGTTGCCGAACGGTTCGGCCGGTTGCTCGTGCACGTGGGGGCGATTTTCGGGAGAGGGAGAAACGTGAATCTCTCGTGCACCTTTAGGGTCCGCACCTGCTGGGTCCGCCGTGGCAGCTCAAGGGGCTATCAGAGCCCCTTTGCGACAGCTTCCCTGCAGCACCCATAGCCCCCAAGGCTTACAGTCGGGGCCTTGACCTAAGGAACCCAAAATAAGGAACGAGGCCCCTTTTTTCCATAAGTCGAACTTCGATTTCCGATCGAAAACATAAGGAAAACCTGAGGCAAGCTGAGAAACGCTTAAGGAACGCGGAGCCCCTCCCCAACGAAAAGGGTTCCTTCCTCAACGCCCCGACTGTATTGCTCCCAGGTGCCGCCCGCCGGACTTGGGTGGGCTGGGCACACCCTCGGTTGACTCCACGCCGGCGGGCGCCTGGGGAAGCAGACGACCGAGCCTCCGCAGGCCCGTCCGGGGCAGCAGCTCTTCGTGGACATGGCCCCGTCCGGGGCACCCGCTCCGCCCGACCTCGGCGCCCCTCCCCCCCATAGGGAGCCCACAAAAAGGACGTGCGCGCCCAGCTGTGTACGTGAGCACGGCCCCTCGATCCGCGAGACCGGCCGCGTTACACGAACAGTTGCGCAGTGCGAACTCTCGAAAGCAGCGTGGATTCATGTACATGTGCGTCCTTTTTTTCCGCGCCTGACCCGAGAAGCCGGCCACGGCATCCCAGGTGCGACTGCGATCGATCGTGAAATGTCGACCAGCGCCCTCCCAGGTCTGGCAGGCAGCCGGGCCTGCGCAGGCTCTGCGGTGCCGGGGCCCCGTTTCCCCCCCCCGAGGCTCCAGGGGCGGCGCCAGCGCCGCGGCATTCAGGCTCCTGTTGGAGTAGAGCTGCCCTGCCGCCCCCTGCAGCTGCTCGAGGTCGGCGTTCGGCAGCGACTGCGCGAGCCAAACCGCCAGCAGAAAACCGATCGCCGCGTCCCCGAGCCATGCCAGCCGGCTCCCGTCATAGGGCTCCCCGGCACCGCTGGAGGTCACCGCCGCTTCGTACACCCAGGCAGCCTCTTGTCGAGAGAAGGAGCACGAAGCAGCGCTCGAGCCTGTCAGCCTCTTGGGCTGGATGTCGCTCAACCGAACCCCTTCGTTGCACAAGCGATCCACCAAACCTGCCTCTGCGGCCAATGAATAACGGTGCGCTTCGCCATAACACGGGAGACGAAACGGTCTCACGAGATCTGAACCTGCTGAGAAAACGCTGCCGATCTCGGCCAGGCGGAACACGGAACGCCTCAGATCTGCCGTTCGCTTCAGGTGGGCGAGCTTGCAGCAGACGACCGGCAAGGACTGCAGCGACTCCGCGAGGTCACGCTGGATGGGCCAGGGCGGACGCAAGGGAGGGATAGCAAATCGGGGACAACGGACCCCCCTTAGCAAGACACCCTTTAATAAAAACGACCCAGGCCCAGATCCAGCGGCGGGCGCAGGCCAGCAACAAAATTGCGGCCTCAGCACCCTTTCGAGAACCGAAAAGATGCAAGTCACAAGTCGACCTGACAGGGTGGAGCTTCCAGCAACCTTCCAGCAAAGAGGAGTCAGCGAATCCGCTGCGTGCGGATGGTGTTCTGCCGTCTCGCGGTGCCGAAGGCGCCAATGTGCTGAGGAAAGCGCCCAGCGGCGGGACCGAGACCAGCTGAGCGCAGCAGATGTATTTCGTCAGAGCGATGAGGCCGAACGGCCTTACACCGTCCTTGGTTGCGTGGCTGAAGTGTGGTTCCGCGGTGCGGATTGTTGTTGTTACTGTCGTTTGCTCATTGTTGTTTGTTGTCGTCGTCCCTCCCGCGACCCACCCGCGACCCAACGACCCACCCGCGACCCATCCGCGGCCCATTCACCACCCACCCGCGACTCACCCAGCGACCCAGCCCGAGACACACCCGCGACGCACCCTCGATCCGCCCCGCGACCCACCCACGACCCACCCCTGTGGCTTTGGCCAGGCAAAGACCTCGGCGCCTGCGGAGGGCTCGGCACCCCATGTGTAGACTCTCGAGCCTCGCAACATGCCGACGACACAGCCGCCCCCTCACTCTGCCATGAGACCCGACGTCGCGAAACACAATGCAGCGCCGTGAGAAAACACGCCAGGAGCCCTGGACCACATCTTCCTGCTGCACGACATGCGAAGGCCCCGGCTCCGGAGAGGAGAAAACGCCCAGCGCGAACAAGAATGCGACGCCGGGACCCCAGGGCTATCAGCAACTGCGGGGACTGTACAGTCGGGGCGTTGACCTAAGGAACCCTAAATCAGGAACGAGGCCCCTTTTTCTCATAAGTTAAACATCGATGTCCCATGGAAAACCTCAGGAAGACCTGAGGCAAACTGTGAAACAATCAAGGAACACCGAGCCCCTCCCCAACGACGAGGGTTCCTTCTTCAGCGCCCCGACTGCAGCAGCCCCCCGCCCCTTCCAGCCCCCCCCCTCCGTCCGACCCGGATCGGGTGGCGTGCGAGGAACTCCGGCACGAGCCTGATCGGACCGGGCTCCTCCCCGCCCGCTCCAGGCGCCTGCTGGCGGCGCGCGCACGGGGGGGGGAGGGGCGCGACAGGGGGCGGGCGGCCCTCTGAGGATTGGCAGGGCGCGTCGGAAGGCGGGACCTCTCGGCAGCCCGCCTAGCTTCTGGCAATCTGCCCGGAACGGGGACGGAAACTACGGGTACGATGCCCAACAGCAGTGCCTGTTCATGTGGAGCAAAACAGGAGTAGCTGTCCTCCGGAATCCTCTGTCAGAAATTCTTGCCATGTTGACAGCAGTTCTTGTCCACTTGGAGGATCATAGGCGCTGCCGAATACCTGGACAAGGGTTGCTGTCAAATGGCCAGATGTGTTGTCCGATGCGCCTGGACGCACAGCAAATCTTGCTCTAGATGAACGGGCACTGCTGTTGGGCATCGTACATCGTACTAATACTTTTCTGTCCCCGTTCCGGGCGAGCAGACCCAAGCCTTCTCAGAAGCGCCTTCTTAGGAGCGTCTTCTCAAAAACCCCCGGGCACTCTGAGAGGGGCACTTGTCTCAGGAGACGCCCCGCGGCCCTCTCCCCAGACCCCCGACGTCGTGATTCTTGTTTCACGACGTGGACCCCAGCGGTCTGGACCCACTCCCTGGGACCGGCTTGTCGTCCTGAGCCGCTTTTCTTACGGCCCCGGGGACGGCGAGGGCCCCCAGGGGCCGACAGACCAGCAAAAACCGTCCATGGTGATGTCTTCGTGGATCGTGGAGCCTGAGGAGGAAGGAGGAGGAGGGAGGAGGAGGAGGAGGAGGAGAAGGAAGGAGAGGAGGAGGAGTAGGAGGAAGGAGGAAGGAGGAGAAGGAGGAAGGAGGAGGAGGAGGAAGGAGGAAGGAGGAGGAAGCGGCCGCCTGCGCCTGCGCCTGCGCCTGCGCCTGCGCCTTCGCCTCTGCCGCCGCCGGCCCCAACGCGACGCCACCCAGCGCTTCCCGCGCCTCCTCCGCGGCAACTCATGGGGGCCTCCAGTGCTGTACTGCTGGCCTTTTGTAGCCAGCGCCGACCCGAGGCGAAATGGCACTCATCGACGCTGAATCGACGCTAGACGACGGTAAATCGGCGCTGAATCGGCGCTGAATCGGCGCATTCTCATCGATTGTAGGACGCTAGCTCCCGCTGGTGCGCTCTGAGACGGAAGTTCGAAGGGACGCAAGTCGGCGTCGAGCGAGGTGGGGAAGTGAGACGGAGAAGCCCTTTTCAGAAGGCGGCGGGGCTTCTCAGAATCCCTCCGGCCTCCCGAGAACATTTGTTGCGCCTCCGGGGAAGGCCTCGACACGCTCTCAGAAGTCCAAGGGACTTCCGAGCCTTCGGAGCAGGCCCGCCCCTTTCGGGGATCTCCTGACCCGGGTCAATCCAGACCCGGGTCAGCAGGAAACTAGAAAACTGCAGTGCAGGAAAAAAAAAAAAAAGCTGCAACGCAGGTCTTCGCAAACCCGGGTCAGCCAATATGCGCGGCCGCCTCGCGGCCATGAGCGGCTCGCTAACCCGGGTCAGCCAGAGGGGTTCTTCGCAGGATCCTGCAGGATCCGGTGCCCTGGCTGACCCCCGTTTGCATTGACCCCCGTCTCGAGGCCGCTCCCCCTCCCCCGGGCTCGCCGCCGAGCGCGGCTCCCATGATTTGCTGCCAGACGCCTCCGGTGCCGCCGTGGCGCCCGGGGCGCCCGCGCCTCCCGCGCGCGCGCCTGGGCCTCCGCCCGCGGCGCGGGGCGGCGGCGCGCAGCCGGGCGCCGCGGCCGCCGGCGTGCAGGCGCCCCCCGCGCCGCGGCAGAGCCGGGTCAGGAAGCAACTCCCTGGAGGTCTTCCCGGACGTGCTCGCGTCGTGAGAGAAAAGGCAAGGACAAAACAAGAAGAAAAAGACGACGGTGGGGCGGGAGGGGGGGGGGGGGGGAGGGGGGGGGGGGGGGGGGCAGTTTTCGGCCGATGGGGGCCCTCGCCAGGGCCCGGGGCGGTCAGAGAAGTGCTCAGGATGGAAGAGCGGCCCATGGAGAAAGGTCGGGACTTCTGGGGACCGCTTTTGGCAAAATCAAGACGTCGCATGTCTAGGCTCGTCAAGGCTTTTAAACCTGATTAAACGCTAGTGAATCCGCTTGGGGTGGCCATCAGGCCGGAATGGGCCAGACTCAGCCCAGGATGAAGCCCGACTGAATCAGACTGCAAGGGATTCAGCTGAGCTCGACGGGATCATGCCGGATCAGGTCGGGCTGATTTTCAACAACGGCTAGTTAATACGCCTACATCTATATATATGTACATATATATATATATATATATATATATATATGCGTATATAGATATATGGAGATACGTATTATGTGTGTATGCATACATACATATAGATGTCCCGCCAGCCCCTTGGGCGAAAGATAATCTAACGAGGGTCTCTTTCCTCTTCCACAACCCTTCTTCCCTTCGCGGAGGGGAACCCTCCCCCTCCCCTCCCTGAAGTTTTTTGGGAGGGGGTCGCGACGAGTTAGAGCGTCCTTTTTCGGCCCCTGGGAGGGCCATTTCTTCCCACATCTCACAAGGATCGTGGCCCCCAAGGGGGGGACGGAGACAAGGGAACCCCCTCTTTTGATCGATAGCCTCCAAGATGGCCCCAAGAGGCCCTCCAGGGCTCCCAAGAGGCTCCCGAGAGGGCCCAAAGAGCGCCCCGAGAAGCCCCAAGAGGCCTCCAAGAGGCACCCGAGAGGCCCTCTAAGAGGCCCCCGAGCGGCTTCAGAGAGCCCAAGAGGACCTCCAAGATGGCTCAGATAGCACAAGCTGGCTCAAGATGGTTCCCAAGATGCTCCAAACGGCCCACAGGCCGCTCCAAGACGGCTCGAGATGGCCACGGAGCCTCCCAAGCCTCCCTCGCTGTTTGGCTGTGCGTGCCTCTTCCTCTCTCCCCCCGTCAGCTCTCATGGGCAGCGTTTCTGGATGGGCTGGTGGGGTACGCGAAGCGTCAAGAATTTCCCAAACAGTGTTTACACAAAGGAACTCTTATTTCGTTTCTAAGGTAACTGAGACTGCGCGCCCGTCTTGCTAGTTCTAAGGTAACTAAGTTCGCATCGCATTGTTTTGCATTGTTTTGCACTGCTGTGCTTCGCATTGCTTTCCATTGCCTTGCAATGGCATTGCTTCGCGTTGCTTTGCATTGCGTCGCATTGCCTCGCATTGCGTTGTATTGTTTTGCATACTTGTGAGTTGGTTTGCTTGGCGTTGCAATGTTTTTGTTGTTTTGAATTGCGTTGCGTTGCGTTGCGTTGCGTTGCTTCTCGTTGCTTTACGTTGCATTGCATTGTTTTGCGGGAGCCGTAACGCTGTAGCCGGCCCGAAGTAAGTGCAACCTGCCTTACAATCCAACAGGAACCCCTCGGATATCATCGGGACAGTGAGCCCTCAGGAGCTCAAGGAATTCCTTCAGGAACCCCTCCCTAAGGATTCCCTAAGGGGGTCAGTCCATCAAGAATCTCTCAAGAATCTCTCAATACTCACTCCGGAACCCTCCGAAAAATGAGCCTGACGAAAGACCCAACCATACGTCGTTGTGAATACCGCAATTGTGGATATATTCTTCGGTGGCGCCCCCGGGCCACGAAACGAGTGAGGGGTGTGCCGACATGGGGGGGTGGAACCGCATGCGGGCGCAGCCACTGGGGCGCTCGGTGGGGCTCCCTATGGAGCCACGAAACGTGTGAGGGGTGTGCCAGAATTGGGGGGTGGAACCGCATGCGGGCGCAGCCACTGGGGCCTTCGGTGGAGCTCCCTATGGGGCCACGAAACGTGTGAGGGGTGTGCCAGAATGGGGGGTGGAACCGCATGCGGGCGCAGCCACTGGGGCCTTCGGTGGAGCTCCCTATGGGGCCACGAAACGTGTGAGGGGTGTGCCAGAATGGGGGGTGGAACCGCATGCGGGCGCAGCCACTGGGGCCTTCGGTGGAGCTCCCTATGGGGCCACGAAACGTGTGAGGGGTGTGCCAGAATGGGGGGTGGAACCGCATGCGGGCGCAGCCACTGGGGCCTTCGGTGGAGCTCCCTATGGGGCCACGAAACGTGTGAGGGGTGTGCCAGAATGGGGGGTGGAACCGCATGCGGGCGCAGCCACTGGGGCCTTCGGTGGAGCTCCCTATGGGGCCACGAAACGTGTGAGGGGTGTGCCAGAATGGGGGGTGGAACCGCATGCGGGCGCAGCCACTGGGGCCTTCGGTGGAGCTCCCTATGGGGCCACGAAACGTGTGAGGGGTGTGCCAGAATGGGGGGTGGAACCGCATGCGGGCGCAGCCACTGGGGCCTTCGGTGGAGCTCCCTATGGGGCCACGAAACGTGTGAGGGGTGTGCCAGAATGGGGGGTGGAACCGCATGCGGGCGCAGCCACTGGGGCCTTCGGTGGAGCTCCCTATGGGGCCACGAAACGTGTGAGGGGTGTGCCAGAATGGGGGGTGGAACCGCATGCGGGCGCAGCCACTGGGGCCTTCGGTGGAGCTCCCTATGGGGCCACGAAACGTGTGAGGGGTGTGCCAGAATGGGGGGTGGAACCGCATGCGGGCGCAGCCACTGGGGCCTTCGGTGGAGCTCCCTATGGGGCCACGAAACGTGTGAGGGGTGTGCCAGAATGGGGGGGTGGAACCGCATGCGGGCGCAGCCACTGGGGCCTTCGGTGGAGCTCCCTTGGGCCACGAAACCCCGCGTCGCCTATGGGGCGGCGGGGGGGGGCCGCCCCCGGTCGCCATGGAGAAGTGGCGGTCGCAGTGCCATTTGCCACCTATGTTGTGCCTGCCATGTCGTGCGCACTGCAGCCCAGTAGGGAGCGTCCAAGAGCAAGGCCTTCGGTGGAGCTCCCTATGGGGCCACGAAACGTGTGAGGGGGTGCCAATCGGGGGTGGAACCGCATGCGGGCGCAGCCACTGGGGCCTTCGGTGGAGCTCCCTATGGGGCCACGAAACGTGTGAGGGGTGTGCCAGAATGGGGGGTGGAACCGCATGCGGGCGCAGCCACTGGGGGTGGAGCTCCCTATGGGGCCACGAAACGTGTGAGGGGTGTGCCAAATGGGGGGTGGAACCGCATGCGGGCGCAGCCACTGGGGCCTTCGGTGGAGCTCCCTATGGGGCCACGAAACGTGTGAGGGGTGTGCCAGAATGGGGGGTGGAACCGCATGCGGGCGCAGCCACTGGGGCCTTCGGTGGAGCTCCCTATGGGGCCACGAAACGTGTGAGGGGTGTGCCAGGATGGGGGGTGGAACCGCATGCGGGCGCAGCCACTGGGGCCTTCGGTGGAGCTCCCTATGGGGCCACGAAACGTGTGAGGGGTGTGCCAGAATGGGGGGTGGAACCGCATGCGGGCGCAGCCACTGGGGCCTTCGGTGGAGCTCCCTATGGGGCCACGAAACGTGTGAGGGGTGTGCCAGAATGGGGGGTGGAACCGCATGCGGGCGCAGCCACTGGGGCCTTCGGTGGAGCTCCCTATGGGGCCACGAAACGTGTGAGGGGTGTGCCAGAATGGGGGGTGGAACCGCATGCGGGCGCAGCCACTGGGGCCTTCGGTGGAGCTCCCTATGGGGCCACGAAACGTGTGAGGGGTGTGCCAGAATGGGGGGTGGAACCGCATGCGGGCGCAGCCACTGGGGCCTTCGGTGGAGCTCCCTATGGGGCCACGAAACGTGTGAGGGGTGTGCCTGAATGGGGGGTGGAACCGCATGCGGGCGCAGCCACTGGGGCCTTCGGTGGAGCTCCCTATGGGGCCACGAAACGTGTGAGGGGTGTGCCAGAAGGGAGGGGGAGGAGGGAGGAGGAAGGAGAGGAGGAGGAAGGAGGAGGAAGGAGGAAGGAGGAAGGAACGCGGGGACCGTCTCTTCAAAACGAGGACCCAACAACACAGGTTGGTTGGGCCCTCACGAACACCTCAGGAATCATCCAGCAATCCTTGAAACCCTTCAGCAATCCCTCAGGAATGCCTCGGCGATCGTCGGGGGTCTTGCAGGAACAATTGCAAAGACTCCATAGGGAATCCTTCGGGAATCCCTCAGGAGCGCTTCTCTGCACGCCACCGCGAAAAGAAAAGCATCGCCAGGGATATACAGAGGGACGGGAAGGGAAAGAGAGAGAGAGGGTTTCTTTCAAAATTGGCCAAGGTGGCCCACGGGACTCCCACGGCATTGCGTTGCACACGTTTGCACAATATGGGTTCACCGTTCTGAAAACAGAACAGACTCCACCCCCCCCCCCCAGGATTATCGACCCCCGTTTTCGCATTGCAATTTACATGCGATTTTGCCCCATCGCCCATCGTAAATGCAAACTCATACCATCCCAGCCCAACCGGTATCGCAACCCCCACCCCCCCGCCATCCTCTGCAAAATGATACAATGCGCGCGCACTCGTTTCTCAAAAATCAGTCGCCAAGAGTGCATTGCAAAAAACGAAACGGAGTGCACACAAGCGCGCGTTGTCGCGCAAAAACCCTTAGATGTCGGAAGGAATTCAAAATCGAATGTCCAAAAAAACTGCATGCGCATGGTTTCGCAACACGGATTTGTTCTACTTTGTTCTTTTATATCTATATATATATACACACACATAATATATATATATATACACAACAAAAAACGTGCGCGCGCTCTCTAGCGAATTCGTAAGAAGCCATCGGTTGTTCAACATGTTCAGAAAAAGCTACCAAAGGGGTT